ATCATCCATGTAGTAAAAAACTCTCTCTAGGCCTTGAAAAACGGCTGCCATAGTTTGCTGAAAAATAGGAGCTGATACACTAAGTCCAAAGAGCAATCTACAAAACGCAAACAATCCTTTCGGCGTACTAATTGTCAATAGACGCTGCACCTCTGGATTCACCCACAATTGTAAGTAGGCATTTGAAAAATCCACTTTTGAAAAATATATACTTCCACAATTCCCTTATTTACCCATTGATCCAATTCTAGTTCCACTTTTCTCCGCCACTCGAACGGTATTCGTCGCAATACACAAAATTTTGGCACAAAGCCCTCCTTCATTTTAATATCTACTTCATAATCTCTCAGACATCCTAAACCTTCATCAAAAATCTCTTGATAATTATCAACTAATTTACGCACTCCTTGCACTTTGATTATCCCTAATTCGATCTCTTTACTTCGCAATTCCGTGTCGTTACGCAGATCCGTTTTCTTCATTTTCACCTCAACTCCTCGAATACGCGCTTTTGCTTTCCCCTTTTGTTCTGACTTTTCGATCTCCATCGTCCATATCTCGGGCAACCCCCTTTCATTAAAAATTTCCATCGTCTTCTCCCCTACAGGTCTTCCCCATTTCTCCACCTAGAATTATTCTCCCCAATTTTTTACCTAAAACTATTCGCCCCAATTACCCTCCCGCATTTTTTTCCTAATATTTCCCCCCCCCCCCCGATTACTCCCCACCAAGTCCCCCCGATTACTCCCCGATGAGTCCTCCCGATTTCTCTTCCAAAAATATTCTCCCCTATTCCCCTTTTAGAATTCACTTCGCTTCTACCCTCATTTCCTAAGAACACTCTCTTCCCTTATCTCTACGATACTTCCTCGGTCTCTTCCCCCTCTATTCCTACTAAACGCCGCCCCGTATTCTGGTAATGATTCTACGCATTCCTCCGATATATCCCCATAAACAGTTTGTCTAGTTAGGGGTACAAACACACCCCACCATGCAAATACTCCCCAAATACTATACCACGGCCCAATTCGGGTGATCCAGTCCCACCTCATTATAGCTTCAACCTTCCGATTGATAATCCACAAATCTAATATCTCCACCAATCTCTTCGCTTCTATTTCAACTCTTCCCATCACAGATACTTATGATCCATCGAATTGCCGTATTCTCAATCCCCTATTTTCGATCATCTCATCATGCCAAATACTCAGATATTTATCGTATCCAATTACCGAAATAGCCACTCCCGTGTCAAATAACATTGGCACCATACTTCCATTAAAATTTATCATTACTTTCGGACAAGGGTCATGTACTATTTCCACTTGTATCATATTTATATATCCCATAATTTCTACTTTTTTCGGAGACCACCCTTTGCATGTCTCCTTGAACCTCAACGCCTTGACCCGCGTAATTTACTGTCATCATATAGTCACCAATTCCCACATTCTCTCACCACATGTCCTTTTTGACGACATCTGAAGCATTCCCTCTTTTGCTCTTCAGTTTGCTCCAAAATATGACCAACAATCCCTTTCATTTTCTCGCTCTCAATAGCCCGCACATTCGGGGCATTCTGAACCATTATTATTTGCGGAAAACCTCCTCTAGTGTTATAATTGTTCGAATTGCACTCCTCTTTATTGTGACCAAATCGTCCACACCCTGCACACCGCAATTTTTCTTGTTTTCCCTAACAGTACGGAGCTATATGTCCAAATTTCCCACATTCAAAACATTTAGTTTCCTGACAATCCCGGACCATATGTCCTTGTCTTCCACAATTATGACAATTTAAATTCATATTTCCTCTTCCACGAGAATCAAAACCTCGTCTCATTTCTATTCTTCTTTCTTGTGAATTCTCTCTTGGTCCCCTCTGAATTCCCCACCTTTGACTATCATAGGACTCTCGCCTTTCTGGCCTACGGACTAATTCATTTACCTCACTCTCCATCCATCTTTGAATTAACTCTTAAACTGGTAGCCACGTCACCTTTCCTATCACATCTTCCTCTCCATTATGTCCTTCTATTGTCAAAGTTTGTCCCTTTATTCTAACACTGCAACTTCTCTTCATCCTTCTTCCTCATATTAAACTACACATCCATACTATTAGTATAACTAACGCTCCAAATATATTGTATTGTATCTCACAGTATTTAACAAATTTATGCTTTTCATCCCGCCGTTATAAAAAATTTATGATTAATTTCAAAATAAAAATCTTGGTTATTTGCAATGTCAACAGATACGATATTATTAAGAGCGTAAACAATCCAATGATGCACATATACATCCACACTTTATAAGTCTAGATATGACAATTTGAGGAAATTTCGTGTAACAGATTTATAACTAATAAAATTTGGGCAGCACTTCCGTGTAACAGGTTTTCCGTGTAAACATGACAAGATAATAGCTTTATATCTGGTAAAATTTGGGCAGCACTCCCGTACGATAGGAACCTTTTTTAAAAAAAAATAATTTTCGGCAAAAACAGACAGCACTTACGTGTAATTTGGCTACTTGGTGTATTTTTGTAAAAAAACGTGCTCCACAATCCTTTAACATTTCCCTATCAATTAGCAACGTTATTCCGTATATACAACGCTTTTCCTACCAATTGGTTTTCCACGTTATTCCGTATATACAACGCTTTTCCTACTAATTAGTTCTCAACATTATTCCGTATATACAACGCTTTCCCTACTAATTAGTTTTCAACGTTTTCCCTACTAATTCGTTTTCAACGTTATTCAGTATATACAACGATTTTCCTACCAATTTGTTATCAACGTTATTCCGTATATACAACGCTTTCCCTACTAATTGGTTTTCAACGTTATTTTAAAAAAATTATTATCCCGTACACTACGTCTTGGCCACCACTTTTAAGTTTTAACCAAGGATAGTTTTATTTTTATTTTTAAATTTTTATTTATAAAAAATTATTAATTATATATGTATTTAATTATTAAATTTTAATCAAATATTGTTTTTTACCTTAATGAAGGGTTTACAAAAAAAATCAATCCCTTTCTACTTTTCTTTCAACTTCTTATTTTGCCCAAAACATCTTGCCAAGAAAAATAATCAAAAATCTGAGAAAAAATTGCAATTTTAAATATCAAAAATATTATTCTTCACAAGAAAAATGACTTCGCAATTTAACATAAAAAGAATCACTCCACATAATACATACTGTCATATCCAAGTCTAGAGCGAAGATCAGAAAATATTCAATAATATTATTATTTATTTCAAAAAAAGTAGGTGTCGTTTGATCTTGCTAGGGTCAGTCTAAAATTATAATAGTAAAAGCTAAAATAAAAATGATGTAAGGGATAAGTGGATAGCCATGTTTATCAACTGGCCAGGCTACCACCCTTTAACTTATTATCTATTTAGCCATTTTCTCTCAAAATTGGTTAAAATTGAAAGAAAAAATTTATAAATATATAAATAAATGAGTAGTTAATTTTAAACGTGTTTAACATCCAGATAATTATTCATAAAATATTATCATTAAATAGAAGAGTCTGATGATAAAATGAAATGTTAATATTAATTATTTATTGTAATTTTTAATATTCTTGTATAATATCTTATGGTCAGTTCAAATGAAACATACCATGTTTGGACTGGGACAGAAAATCAACTTTGACATAAATTCATTCAAAAATTATTATTGATACGGCATTACTTTTAAAAGTTTTCTCTACTAGCCGTGTTTGATGATAAAACCTTCCAGATTTATATATTTTGGGAATTCAGGAAAAGGAAATTCCATATTATCATTATTTTCCATGGAAATTAATTTATAGATATGATCTGCACAAAATTATCTTTTATATCAATCGTCCACATTTTAAATTATTTTGAAAACTAGATTCATAATGCAAATTTTTAAATATAAATTTTTACATTAAATAAAAAGATTATAATTTTAGAATTAATTATAAATATATTTTATCAATTTGGGCATTTATTACATAAAATTACTTCGCTACTTTCTAAATTAATGGCAAGCTACCGCTATTTTTTAAAAGTAACGCGTTAAAGCTACCATTACTAAAAAAAGTAGAAAAACACTGCAAGTGATGAAAATTATAATAATAATGAAAACACTAGTAAACGCATGAAACTTATTTTTTAATATAATAATTTTTCACGCTCGGCCATAAATTTGCATTATTCTAACTTTAATTTAAAAAAAAAAAAAGATGAAATTATGGGTATTATACGAGTTAACTGGCCCAATCTATGAAATTTGTAGCCCCAGGTCTGGGTGGCCATTTAGATTCTTTACTATACATAATTTAAAATTAAATGCGTTATTTTAAAAACAAATCAAGGATTTTTCTACCAGAAGCTATGATTGACGAATAAGTAGTTCCAATTGAATTAAACTTTTAATTTTAAAATAAGGGAAAGAGTAAATTAACAAAATTGAATGAAGATTGCCCAGCGATTTCTTATTATCCTGACATGGATTTTATTATAGCCATTATTGTAATGTCACTTTAAGGACCGCCGTATACGCTTGATTTGTTTTTTATATAAAATTTACTTTTAAATCCTCGTTGTAGTCTATATCTATATTATTCATTCATTTTCGGATGATAAAATGTAAAACAAAACCATAAAAAACAATAATATTAATTATGCAAATAATAATCCTGAAACTTATTAATTAAAATTTTTAATGATATAATAAGTTTTTTAATGACATAATTACATATTTATATAAAAATAACTAATTGCAAAATAAATGATCTATATCATTTTTAGGTTGAATAAGATAATAAAAAACAGTTTAAAAATAACTACCTTAGTTAAAGAAACTCTTAAAAAAGTTCAAAAAAGATAGAAAAGTATATTGGTGTCTTTGATACAATATAAAATTGTGATACTGCCTAGCTCTGGCTCTTAATCCATGTTAGGAATAAGCATATAATTTTAAAATTAGTTAATATAACATAATTAGTAATTACCATATATCCATGTAACTGTTATCGTTTCAAAAAGGCAAAAAATTATGACGGATAAGATGGCCAAGTACCAATCGACCAATTGAAATAGAAATATTCCGCCCTGTTAAAAAAAGCATTAAAATTTATTGCGAATGCTTAAGGGTTATTCTAATTTGCAATAAGATTTAAATTAAGCAGGTCCGGGGCTCAATAGTGGTATGATCTTAGAATTTTGTTTGCAAATATATAAGTTCAAATAATTCCTCAAATAATTTGATTTTAAAATTTTAAGCACTCGGTCTCATCAAGTAGAGTGAACCAGCAGATGACGATCACTCTAAAAATCTAACAGAATACATAAATATAATTTTATGCATCCATAGGTTACAATGAAGGCTTGATGTTAGGGGGGATAATAGAAACGCGTAAATCAATGATACACATATAGAAGAATCAATTCCATCTTGAACTTTGTAGATCAACACATGCTTGTGAAATTGTAAATTGTTAGAAAATATTTGAGTACATGTAATTGCTTCGAAATTGGAAGAGGTATTAATAATTCCTTCAAAATAATGAAACGATGAGATTTAGGAGGGCTGCTATATAATAAGCAAGTTAATATATGTATCACTGATATACACCAAGTTTTAGATGGTTTCGAGATATAGGGCCACGGGAGCTGTTATACATATGCTGCCCGAATTTCCAAAGATGAGACAGAATTGAGAATGGATTATGAATTGAAAGGCTATGAAGGTGTGGTTCACAAAAGGGGCAAAGATGTAACAAGTAATTTAAACTTTATACCGAAATTAAGGCCGTCAACCACAAGAGTCAATTATTTTTGACGAAACAATAAACAAGATAGAAAATTTTATCACTTGGGAGAAATGTAAAGCATTGATGGTTAGCCTTCTGCAGTGGTGGGAGAAAGGTATGAAAAAATTTCAACTATCCAAAAAGTTTAATTCGCTCTAAAGTAAGGAAGCTGTATCAGAATTATACGAGGCAAACTTGCCCAGTGAAATATATTTGGATAAATTGAAGTAGCAAATTAGGATGTTACGATAGATCATGTTTGTTTTGAACAGGGATGTGAACCCGGACCCTCGCATATTTGCTGGACCCAACTCCTAAACCATTTTAAAAGTGGAGGGTTCTATTAGGTGTCAAAAAAAATATTAATAAATTTTTAAAAATTATATCTAAAAAAAAATTTTTTTATTATTAAATCCATGAAAAATAAATTAAATTTTTTTGGTAGAATCATTTTTTTTCTCTTAGCATTTTCAAAATTTTCTGCTTGTTAATTTATATAAATTTTAGAATGTGAAATATTGTGAATATTATAGTGTAATAGTATTTTATTATAAATATTTAATATGCTTTATAATAGGAATACATTGCTTATCTTGTTTTATATCAATTTTAGAAAGTGAAACATTGGGAATTTTGTAGCAGGCGTGTAAACAATGGTGAGAAAATTCACCACTTGCCTGTTCTTGTAAATATCATTTTAAACAAATAAAATTACTTCTTACACACCCCTTTCTCCAAAAAATGTATACAATATATCATTGTAAGGAAGAATTTGAAGGAAAAATTAGTAAAAGTTAATAACTTTTTAAAAAAGACTAAAATTCAAAATTTTTTAAAAAAGTGAAAACCCAAAATTATTTTGCAATAATCAAATATAGCCAAAGGCCAGGGATCCAAACTAAACCTGAACCGAACCAACCGCTGAAAATCGGTGTATTTTATTGAACCTTAACCGAACCTAAACCGCTAAAAAATTTCTAGCCGAACCTGAACCAAACCTATAAAATGCCTCTGAACCGGTCCGAGCCTCATGATTTAATGCTTATAAAATAATGTGCAAGTTATTATTAGTATTGCAAAAATTTTAATTATATTCGAATTGTTTTAAAGATTATTATCAATCACATTTGATTGATAAGTGTCAGTCATAATTTTTATAAACTTTAATGTATTGCCATTTTACAACATTTTTTAAATATTTTAGGCTTATAAATTATAATGCCTAGAGAAAAATTAAATCCAATATATAAATTATTAACATATAGTATTATAAATGACACATCAAATTGTAATATTACTTATTGTCAAATAAATATGAAAGGCCATCATGGAGAAAATCTTGAGAGTCACATAAAAAGAAATCACCCTCTAGAATCGAATAAAATTAACAAAATATCACAACAAAAGCCTAATAAGATAAAAAAAAGTTTAAGATCATATTATTAAAATATGGCAAAACATAGCATTAAACTATGTTATAAGAGTGGATGATTCTATTGAAGGTAAATCAACGCCGGCTAATGTATCTTCATCTGAAGAGGATTTAGTATAAAGTCTTCTTTAAAAAAAGATAGTAACAAACAAAATCTGTTACAAGCAGAATATTAGAAATATAATTAATTTTTCTAAAGAACCTAGATTAAATATAAATATTTTAGACTAATGGAGAAATCAGAGTAATTGATACCCAGAATTATGTAAATTGTCTGATATCTAAATGGCAGTGCAGGCTACCCAGTTAGTGTGGAAAGATGTTTTTCAACAATTAAATTTATACTATCTCCTTATAGATGTAATTTGAGTGATAAATCTTAATATTATTGTGCGGCTTAATAAAAAAATTTTAAGTAAATAAAGTTAATATTGTTTATATTGAAATTAATCATTGATATTTAACTGTTATATTTATAAATTAAATATTATTTTATAATGTGTAATTAATAAAAATGAAGGTTTTATGTATGTGTTTTTTATTTTTATGATGAAATTAAAAAAAAATATTCTTCCCTATATATAATTCGAATGTAAGTTTGAATGCAAAAGTGTTCAAACCGGATTTTAGAGGTTCGAACCGAACCGATATTTTTATTTTTTATGAACCGAACTTGAACCCTTATTTTTATCCGAACCTGAACCGATATTCGTTTCGGTTTGGACCCCTGCCAAAGGCCCACAATAAGTGAACCTAAAGATCTTCAATAAAATATATGGGGAAAATCCCATCTAATAGTGACACCCCCCCCCCCCATCAAAATCCTGGATTAGTGTAGGTAATCATATTTTATTATAAATGATATCAAAGGGTAAGCGATTAAAACATTTTAAAATATAAATTAATTTTTAACTTGTAAATTATGTAACCCGTACACTTTTATAAAACTTTATTCATGAACCTAACCCCTTTTTGTCATAAGGTTCACATTCCTGGTTATAAAAACAGGATTACCTATGTCTTTTTATGAAGCAAAGAAATGTGAAGGAAATCAGCTTGATATTAAGAAGAAAAGCATTTGGATGGTTTAACTTAATATTTCTAGTGATAACACTATATTAACTAGATGAAGTATAAATATGAGAAAAGATGTATCGATATCATCATTAAACGAGATTTATTCGATGAAACTAGAGTCATAATTATTGACAATATCGAAAATCCATATAAGGATAAAGTTAAAAAAATATTTAAGTAGACTTAGTATTCAACCGGGTTTTTTTTAAATTAAGACCCAAAATTTAATCAAAATATTTGGAATTATGAACTTTGAAGAACATTATTAGAGGATGACAACCAAACTAGGTGACAATGAGTTGAAGAAATAAATGGAGATTATACCCCATATGATTGCATCTCGACGAACACTCCCCTTGTCAGAACCTTGTACAACCTATAACAGAACAAGAAATAATCATATGCCTCAAGCATATGAAAAACAACAAAGCTAGGGGTCCAGACGATATTCCAATAGAAAGCCTTAAAGCACTAGGAGATGATGGAATACATCTCCTCACAAATCTGTACAATAAAATACTTGGAAATGAAGAGGTCCCCCAAAAATGGAGGCAGAGCTATCTAGTTCCTATCTTCAAAAATAAAGGGGATCCACACAATTGTCAAAATTACAGGGGCATAAAACTAATGTCACACTGTCTAAAACTATACGAAAAAATAATAGAAAAAAGATTAAGAGATATAATCGAAATAGGAGAGACACAGTTTGGCTTTATGCCTGGAAGATCAACAACCGATGCTATCCATGCAATTAGGCAAATGAGTGAAAAATACAGGGAAAAGAACAAAAAGCTACACATGGTCTTTCTCGATCTAGAAAAGGCCTTTGATAGAATCCCAAGAAAACTTATCTGGTGGGCGCTACGCCACAAAAAAGTTCCCGAAAAATATATAAGAATAATAGAGGATATGTATATGGGACATACAACAATGGTCCGTAGCACAACAGGTACTTCAGCAGGCTTTACAATAGCCGAAGGAGTTCATCAAGGGTCGGCTCTCAGCCCACTTCTCTTCATTACAGTAATAGATGTATTAGCACAGTCTATACCTCAAACAGTCCCGTGGAATATGATATTTGCAAATGATATTGTGATACTTGCCGAATCCAAGGATGAAATGAAAGAAAGGTTAGTGAATTGGATAAATATCCTAGAAACGCACGGATTAAAAGTAAATAGAGAAAAGACGGAGTATATGGTGATAGGAGGAGATGAAACGGAGAGTATTGATATAAATGATTGGCAGATATCCGCAATTGAAAGCTGCAAATATTTGGGCTCCACTATACAAACAAACGGCACAATAGAAAAAGAGATAAAGAATAAGATTAATCAAGGGTGGTTAAAGTGGAGATCTTTATCTGGAGTGCTATTTGACAAAAGAATCCCACACAAATTAAAGGGAAAAATTTACAGTTCCATAGTACAACCAACTATTCTATATAGTTCGGAAACATGGCCAACCAAAGAATCAGACGAGAGAAGTCTACAAACTATGGAGATGAGAATGCTGAGGATGATTGCTGGGGTAACAAGAAAGGATAAGGTGCACAGTACAAGAATACTAAATAGTTTAAAGGTAGTGCCCATTAAGACTAAGTTAATGGTAAACAGACTTAGGTGGTATGGGCACACAATGAGAAGGCCTATGAACTACATAGGAAATAAAGTTGAAAGATTGGAAGTGATGGGCAAACGTAAAAGAGGAAGGCCAAAACTTCAATGGGGCCATAAAGTTAGAGCCAATATAAAGAAGTATAAAATAGATAAAAGAGATTGTACGAATAACATAAAGTGGAGAGAGATGTTGAAGGAGCTTACCACCAGAAAAGGTGAAAGCTAAAGAGAAAAAAAAAAATACCCCATATGCCCGGTATGCGCCAACCACAAATATCCATTTCACATTTTAAGCTGGATACTCCAGGAATATATTCAAATAAAAGAAAATTAAAAAAAAAATTTATTTTTTAAAGTGTAGCCGCCTGTACCTTTAATAAAAAAGGTAATCCTAGAACCATCATTATAATCGAAGCTATGAGGGTGAAACTGGCTCTCCTATTTCTGTACCTGATAGGAAGCATGTCGTAAATAGCCGAATATACCACTTCTAATTGCACGAACTGTTGAAATAATAAAGATATATAGAATTATGATCGTTTTGTTGAGTTTAAAAGATATATAGAATTATGATCGTTTTCATTTTAAATGTACTTTGGTGGGTCACTTGCTATCAAAAACAAATATAAATGGAATACTAAATAATTAGAATTCGATTCTAATCGAATAGAATAATTTACCATTGAAAATTATAGCAATTAAATATGAATAGTAAATTTTATTATTCATGTGAATACGAAATTATTTTATTTAAAAGATTTTAAATATAATTCACTATTTGATTCGTATTCGTTTTTGAATAGGCCTATTTGGAAGAGATTTATATACTTCAAATTATCCAGTAACTATATATTGTAAATAAATTATAAAAAAAATAGGGTAAAGTAAATGATTGGAAGAGAGCTAATATGAAATATAGATTATATTATTCAAAATGTTAAAAATTAAAAGATGATAAATATTATCGAGATATAAAAATGTACAACTATTTAACAAAATTTGCTAGCAATGAATGTTAAGGTCTTTAAAATATATTATTTAAATTTGTAAATAGTCAAATATTCTATTATGTTCTCGAATTTCAAAGCGGATACATTGTAATTCCGAGAGAAAACTATGCATAACTTTTATGGTGAGAAGTTAGGGGTAATCTTCTCGTACAATTCAATTGCTCACAATTGTAATATACATATTTTGTTGCTAGAATATTATTAGTTGGAGTGTTCTAAGCAACATTTTCGAAATTTAAACCATAGTAAGATCTATGGTAAGCTTGTTTAGGGCATATATTTAAATTTTGTTCTATTCATGAGTTTAAACATCCCTAAAATAGATTATCATCTCAATACGGGATATAGAATGAGATGGAACATTCTAATAATAAAATAACGACACGGTATCGTTTAATATTTTGGGGTATAAGAATGCAGCATTGTAATAATAAATATATACAAATTTTAAAAAATAAAGTCTCACAATTGTATCGATACCGATGGTTAGCAACATGGCGAAAAAGAGGACCGACCAAACATTCGAGAAAGGCAAGTGCAATAAGGCCTCGGGATACACGATAAAAGCTAACCCGACGCCTAAAGAACAAGTAAATATTATTAGTTAAATGAAAAATTAGGTATCATTCGTTTAAAACAGATCCTTAAATAAATATAAATCTAAATATTGTTCAATCTTTTTAAACCATTACGCCCCATGTATTCATTATTCCCTTTATTATATCTTTATTATCTTGAAATATAATTTATTTTTCATCTAATATATCTTAAAACTAAAACTCCATAAAATTAATGCCTATTTTCACCTGTAAAAAAAAATGTTTCCTACAAAAAAAGAAGAGATTTATTAAAATGATTTTTTCTTATATAATTTAGATACCTACCATGAGTAGCAACTTTTTCGATGGGAACACTGAGAATATGGGACATAAATCCAATTACAGAAAAAACGACTAACCCTGCAAAAACGCTCGTACCACAATTGACTACTGAAACGATGATGCTATCCCTGCGTTATTTGGGGGTAGGGGAATAATAAAATAAATTGACATGATATTTTTTTCTTAACCAGTCTAAAAAACTAAACAAACAAATCACCAATTTCAAATTAGCATATATTTTGTATTTCAATTGTATTCCTTCTTGATATGTAAATTAAGGTAATAAAATAATTATTTTAAAATTTAATTTTATGTTTGCTATACATAAAGACAATAATCTTATTTTTAAATTAAGGTAATATTTTAATTATTTTTTATTTAAAAAAAAGTGTATAATGTCACCTCAAACAATTATTTCGAAATTTATTATAACTAGCCATGGTTATAAGACCGCTCCAGCCTGGACCAAGCGAATAAAAGATTTGGGTAGCAGCTTCGTTCCAAATCTTTCATAATATGAAAATAAGGTATGATGGCAAACAAACAGAACAAGAGAAATCATTTTCACCAGAGTTATTGTAATATTAGTATTTAGGCTATGTCCTTAATATAAAAAAAATATAATCTCAAAAATTAAGGGAATTTTGAGAAAGAAATATATAAGCCATTTAATTGTAAAATTAAAATATCGGCCTAAATAATTTTATGTTTTAAGATTCTTAAAAGTTATATTTGAAAATTTAACCATTTTATTATTAAAATTTTGTAATTTGTGAAATTTTTGCGAGAAAATGACAAATGAATATGATCTCATGAAAAATATCATACAATACAGATCTGTGGTGTAATAGCGACTTAAAGTTTCGAAAATTTTGGGACATGTTTTTATCTCTCAAAACTCACGAAAGTTATGCAATTCTTAAAACTTTTGAGTAGTTTATTTATACTTAGGACACAGCCTTAAGAAGAATTGGTAAATTTAAAAAAAAACGAATATATTCAATTAAAAATTTTACAAGCAATTTCTTAAAATGTAATAATGCCAAATACTACTTAAAAATCAAAATATTTTTAATGTAATTTTTAAAAAAATGCATTTAATAATTTCATTGCCATATTATTAATAAAAATAATACGATTACTTTATCGATGTGTTTTATCATATTTTAAAATAAAAGGCAATTACTTTAACATTTTTGAGTTTACTCCAATCAGGCTTTAAGAAAAAAAGAACTCCCTTTAAAGCACCAGGTAAAAACATACTACGTATCAACAACACGGTAAGTATTAAGTAAGGAAAAGTGGCCGTGAAATAAACGATCTGAATTGAAATTTGTGTATAAATAAATAAATCGACCAATAATACATATATTTCAACTATATTTGAGGGTTAACAAAATATAATTTAAGTGAAGCTTAGAATTAAATCCTAATTAAAAACTGGCTAGCTAAAAGTTACTAAATTAAACTATAACTATGATGGACGTCTCATTTATTTTTGCAATTAAATATTCATATATTCTGTTTTAAACAGGGATGTGAACTCGAACCCTGGTATTTTGGCTGAACCCGAACCCGGACCCTTTTTAAAAGTGGAGGGTCCAAGGGTTCTAGGTGTCATAAAAAATTTTTAAAAATAAAAATATTTTTTTAAAAATAAAAATATTTTTTTAAAAATAAAAATATTTTTTTAAAAATAAAAATATTTTTTTAAAAAATAATATAAATTTTTTTAAATTTTACTAAATTTTTTTGTGGAATCATTTATTTTATCTTCGCGTTTTTCTTCCAATTTTCTTCCTGGACTTCCATTTTATTTAGAGATTGATATCATAAATTATTTTCCAGTGTAATAATATTTTATTATGTAAATTTATTAATATGCTATGTTAAAGAAATACGTTGATTATTTTAAAAGTGAATTATTTTGTAGTATAAGTAATAATATTTTAATTTAAATGATAATGCACAACACGTTGGTCCTCAATTTGTATGATGCTAGAACGATTATTAAGTGAAAGATTTCTAATAATTTTATAATAGGAGCATGTGAAGTCATTTTGTCGGAAGATGATTGGTGCCAAATAAAGGACCTTACTAGTGTATTGGTTCCTTTAAAAATAACAATATTAAAATTACAATCAGAAAAAATTATGTTTATTTGATTTTAAGGCATATGGATTAGATACCGATTAGATTTAGAAAAATTTACAGTCCTTTTTATACGAAATATTAAAAAACATGAAAATTCGAGAGCAACAATATTTGCAAAATAGTGTTGTCTACGCTTCTATATATTTAGACCCTCGATATCAAGTTTTATTGAGTATTGAGCAAAAACAAATGGCTAAAGACCATCTTAAGGATTTATGGCATAAGCAAAACTCCATTCAATATATTGGAGGCTACGACAATACCTATTGGTTGTAGTGATAATAATAATAATGATAGCAACATTGATGATCTTGAAATTTTACTTTTAGATAGAGAAAAAAAAATCAAATTATCATCAGATAGAAAGGAGGATCAAAAAATGCCTATTGCATCTTTAATAGTAAAGTTCTCAGAAGTTAAGAGAATAAACAAGGATATAAATATTTTAAAATTCTGGGAAGAAAATTATTCAATATATTCAGAATTATATATATTATCTAGAATCTTCATGGCTGTACCAGCAACACAAGTAGAAAAATTTTATAAAGATAACTATCTATTTTAGATAAGGGTAGAACGTGAATTTTCATTTAGAAATATATATTTTCTACTTTACGTGGAAATCTCAATGTCATTTAAAATATAAATTATTTCATTTCTAAATTTATCATTTTAAATTATGAATATGTATATATTGAAGTATAATAATAAATGAATATGTATATATTGAAGTATAATAATAAATGAATTTTAAAAAAATATAATTTTGAGTCATTATTTTTATGTTTTCTGAACCCGGGCCCCGAACCCTGGACCCGGGTCATATCAAATTTTATTCCTGTACCCGAACCCGGACCTTTTTTTTGTCGAAGGGTTCACATCTCTGGTTTTAAATAAGATCGATAATAATCTGTTATTTTTTTAATATAAATAAATATCAATATATTCTATTTTAAATAAGAGCGATAATAATCTATTATCCTTTTTTTACATATAAATATTATTTTTTTCTCCCCTCAATGTCATTAATATTTCTTTTTATTATTTTGTGAAAATTATTCGAAAATAGAAAATTAATAAATATTAATATTATTATTCGCACCATAAAAAAGGGTAATTTATATTATTAAATAAGATCCTGTACTACTAAGAACCAGTAGTAGTAAAATAGTGTTGTTAAATAGTCGAGTTCCCCTGACTGCGACTCCGAGTCGAGTTTTGAGTCGATTAGTCAACTCATTTTTACGACTCAAGTTATCAACTTGAGTCGTGAACTCAACAGGTTAACTTAAATTTTATGAAACTCGATTACTTTATATTATTAGGGTTGTTAATTGTTTGGTTGTGTAATACCCAGACCTAGAGCTTAGCTCTAAAAATCGACTAAATCAATTATAAGCATAACCCCTAAGCATAACAGGGGTTCAGACCCATATATTCGAAGTTATTTCTTATTGAACTAAATAATATAATGATAATTAAAGTTATCAATTGATAAATTAAAAGACCTATTGAATAGGCAAAAAGCCAAGCGCTACTTCTTGAAGCTATTAGTAGGGGGGGGGGGGGGGGTAAAAATATTTGATATAGTACTCATATAACTGATCATGAAAGACCTTGTTTAATTATATCACCCCGCAAGATATGCCTAGCATTAATTAATATTTATTGTTTATATTATATTATGAAATTAAATATGCTTATTATATTATGAAAATGGATTTATTTATTTCATGTTTTTTAATAAAAAAAATGATATGCTGCTATTGTTTGTAATATTATTTTTGTTACAATTTATTAGTGATTTTCATGCCGAAAATTTTAAGCAAAAAATATTTTTTGAACATATTTTGATTTGATAAAAATTTTAAATCTTTTTTTCAGGAAATCTTTTGTGAACTTTATTATAAATAAACAATCTTTTAGATGAAATCTTTTATAATTTTTTTAAAAATCATTTTTGTAAAATTATCTATTTTTTTTAAGCATATTAAGAGTGGCAGTTTTTTCTAAATAATTATTTTAAAAATATTTATAAACATTTTTTTGTTAATTTATATGATCTTTTTAAGGGTTATATTTTAATGTGATAATTGTCATATTCGTTATTTTCTACCATTTTTGAAATTTTTTGACATAAAAGGGTAAAAATATAATTTATAATTGTAAAGATGTTACATTATAAATTCAAGGGAGATGTTCCTTGGAAAAATGACAATTATCATAATCAGTATTTTCAAACATATTAGATTTTTTTTAACGCTAATGGGCAAAAATATTAATTTTTAACATCATCTAAAAGGGACAATTGTCATGATCGTTATTTTTAAAGTTTTTTGAATTGACCCAAATGGGCAAAAATAAGTTTTGCTAACATGTTAAATTAAAATTTAATGAAGTTATGTAGACAAGTGACAATTGTCATAATCATTATTTTTTAAATTTTTTTGACGTTAATGGGCAAAAATAAGTAATACTAAAACGTTAAATTAAAAATTTAGAAAAGATTGACAATTATCATAATCGTTAATTTTAAAGTTTTCCAATATTTTTTTAAAAAATCATTCAAAAAAGATAAAATTTTATTGGAATAATTCAGAAAATTGCCAATTTACACAATCTTCTTTCTCTAACTTTTTTATTTTTTGGAGAAATGTGTTGGTACCATTGGCGAAACAAAAAAAACAAATAGCAATTTCATATTCATATCGTTGTCCCTTTTATCCTGCTTAAAATTTGATAATATGCAAAGTGATTACTAAAGAGGGTTGTAACTCATGTGAAATTCTAAACATGTAGGATATGGATTCATAATCTTATTCCTTTAATTTTAATTCTACAACTATTAAAATGTGTAACCCTTCATTCAGTTATTAAAAATATTTGTATACTAATACTGAGTCTGAATTCAGGCTAAGATTTTTATTAAAAGAACTTACAAACCATATAAATATTATTTATCAAAATGATACAATCAAAATTCTATAAATATAATAAGTTTAAATTTTATAAACATATGGTAATATAGTTTACAATTTAAATTTTTGCCCAATTGCTCCAAACAAATTAAAAAAACTTTAAAAATAACGATTATGACAATTGTCACTTATCTATAGTACATCTTTATGAAATTTTAATTTAACATGTTTACAATCTATATTTTTACCAATTTGCGTCAAAAAAATTCATAAAACTTTAAAAACAACGATTATAATAATTGTCACTTATCTATGGTACATCTTCACTAAATTTTTAATTTAACATGCTAGCAAAACTTATTTTTGTCTATTTGCGTTAAAAAAAATTTAAAATAACGATTATGACAATAGTCACTTATCTAGGGTACATCTTTATGAAATTTTAATTTAGCATGTTTACAATCTTTATTTTTACCCATTTGTGTCAAAAAAATTCAAAAAACTCTATAAATAACAATTATGATAATTGTCACTTATCTATGGTATATCTTCATTAAATTTTAAATTTAACATGTTAAAAACTTATTTTTGCCTATTTGCGTCAAAAAAATTCAAAAAATTTTAAAAATAACGATTATGACAATTGTCACTTATCTATAGTACATCTTTATGAAATTGTAATTTAACATGTTTACAATTTATATTTTTACCCATTTGCGTCAAAAAAATTCATAAAACTTTAAAAACAACGATTATGATAATTGTCACTTAGCTATGGTACATCTTCACTAAATTTTTAATTTAACATGTTAGCAATACTTAATTTTGCCCATTTGCATCAAAAAAATTTAAAAATAACGATTAAGACAATTGTAAGTTATCTAGGTATATCTTTATGAAATTTTAATCTAGCATGTTTACAATCTATATTTTTACCCATATTTGTGTCAAAAAAAATTCAAAAAACTCTATAAATAACAATTATGATAATTGTCACTTATCAATGGAATATCTTCACTAAATTTTGAATATAACATGTTAAAAACTTATTTTTGCCCATTTGCGTCAAAAAAATTCAAAAACTTTAAAATATACGATTATGAAAATTGTCACTTATCTATGGCACATCTTCACTAATTTTTAATTTAGCATGTTAGCAGTACTTATTTTTGCCCATTTGTGTCAAAAAAATTCAAAAATCTATAAATAACAATTATGATAATTGTCACATATCTATGGTATATCTTTA